GTTGTTGTTGTTGTTGTTGTTGTTGTTGTTGTTGTTGTTGTTGTTGTTGTTGTTGTTGTTGTTGTGGCTGCATGTTGGAGCAGCTCTACTTTCATTCTGAGATTAATTCTTTTGGAAACTTTAATTCCTCTTTTTCTGGATGTAAATCACATTTTTTGGATGATTGTTTCCTCTGGTATCAGATGCTGTGCAGCTGGAAGGATTTTTACTGAAACTTTTTTAGTTTTGGACATTTGTTATGATGCGTAACCATGGCAACAAGGCAGTTTTCTACAACAACAGCTGATTAACATCTCAAAAGCTCAAATAATATCTCAACTACAGCCCCAACTCTCAAATGAGTTGAAAAGGATGTTCTGTGGATGCATTCTCATCTACCTGCCAGCTGTGCTCGAGTGCCTGACCACTGAGATCCTGGAACTAGCAGGAAACACGGCTCATGACAGCAGAAGGACAGGATCGTCCCTCAGCACCTACAGTTGGCTGTCCACAGCGACGAGGAGCTCAGCAGACTGCTGGGAGGAGTTCTGCTCTGCATTCAGGAGGTCCTACAGCCCGGGGGAACCAAGAGGCCAGCTGAGTCTGGGTGGACGGATCGGACGGCATCTGCAGCCAGTTTCTTAGGATCCACTGTGGGATGGACCTTTACAAGAGATCCTTCCTGTCTACAGCATCAGCATCTATAACATCTCTTAATGAAATGAGGATAACGAGTTACAACAACAAATAATTTCCCTTTGGGATTAATAAAGTATTTTTGAATTGATTGTTAATGATCGATAACATTATTTATAGTTATTTATTTCATGATGACGTCATCATCCGTTTCACTGAAGTTCTAGAGACTCGACCGGTTCCTCCTCAAGTAGAACCAGGAGAGGTTCTGTTGGAGTTCTGCATGAAGACCTGACATCCTCCCTCCTCGTTGTCCTCCTCCCTCCTCGTTGTCCTCTTCCCTCCTCGTTGTCCTCTTCCCCCCTCGTTGTCCTCCTCCCTCCTCGTTGTCCTCCTCCCTCCTCGTTGTCCTCCTCCCTCCTCGTTGTCCTCCTCTCCTCCCCCTCAGGTCAGCTGGCAGAGAAGGGCAGGAAGGACCTTCGTCTCCTGGCGCTCCGTCTGTCCTCCTTGTTCCCGTCGCTGCTGTCGGAGGAGAACATGAGGACACGGAGGCTCCGCCTCCTCAGCAGCTCCAAGCCGCGCTGCGTCGGCAGCGTGGAGGCGTTCCAGGACGGCTTGCTGCAGCTCCACGGACGCCGCCGTGAGGCTCCGCCCACAGGCTTTCTGGGTAATATGACACCCAGCCTGCTGACATGTGACCTCTGACCCCTGCAGACGTCCCTCCAGAGTACGTCCAGCAGGTGGACGACGGGCTGATGAGGTTCTTCGAGCGTTGTCGTGGTTACGTGGACGGCGTAGAGAAGAACCGGACGGCGCTGATTGAGGTGGTCAAGTTCAAACACGGAGACGAGATGGAGGCACTGAGGAGGAGGACGGCCGAGATACTGGGTGTCCCTCTTCATCGTCTCACTCCAGGTGAGACACACTTAGTGGACGCGTCCCTCTGAGACAGACACTCTTTTTGTCCCTGTGTGTCTCCTGTAGACCTGGTGGAAGCCGCCTTCTTCCTGTGTTCCTACGAGCTGTCCATCAGGTCCGTCCTCTCTCCGTGGTGCTTCCTGTTTGACGAGAGCGACGCCAAGGTTTGACGAATAAAGTTCTTTCAAAATGTGACTCCTCACAGCAGCAGCCTGTGGGTTTTTTCTCCCTGCTGCTCGTCTGCAGGTGCTGGAGTACAAGTCGGACCTGAAGCAGTTCTGGAAGCGTTTTCACGGTCACCGGATCAACAGCATGTCCAGCTGTCCTCTCTTCCATCATGTTTTCAGGACGCTGGACAAGGCTGGACGTCCTCGCAGGTGGGTGTGGTCCTGACGGACCAATCAGCTGCATGAACTAGTCCTTGTCTGATCTCTGACCCGGGTCCTTCAGGGCCACCGAGGCGGCTCCAGAGCCGGCCTCCATCCTGGTGGGACATGCTGAGACGCTCCTCCCCCTCCTGTCTCTGCTGGGACTCTACAAGGACCCGACTCCGCCCACTGCCTCCAACTACCAATCACAGCACGGTATGAAGCCCCTCCCACACAGACATCCGATCAGATGTGTCCTTCAACACAAAGTGTTGAACATAAAATAATTGAAATGATTCAAACTATAAAATCAGCAAATTAAACATCTTGATCTGAGAAAAAAGAAATGCAGAAACTTTACGTCAAATATTCCAGAATTATAAAAATTCAGTTTTAAAATAAATCCAACAGAGTTCAGTTAGGTCCTCTGAACGGTTTCTTTGTGTTGAGATGTTTCGTCCTTCATCCAAAGGACTTCTTCAGTCCCAGGAGCCACAACAAACTCAGTCCCACAAGCAGCACACTCAGATAGTGGTCCAACCAGTTTGATGGTGAGAAGATGGTTTCTGGAGTCCGCCTTCTCCCCCGCCGACTCTGCTGAGGCAGCCATGTCCAAACCGGAACAAAGCAGTTAAGTTGGTGCTAAGATGGTGTCTTTGGCACGCCGCCTCCTCTGGAGCCGGCCCTCTTCCTCGTCGACCGTCATGTGAAACTGGTTGGTTTTGAACCAGTTTGACTTGACTGTTGACGAGGAAGAGGGCCGGCTCCAGAGGAGGCGGCATGCCAAAGACACCATCTTAGCACCAACTTAACTGCTTTGTTCCAGTTTGGAGTAAGCTGTTTGGGGTTAGAATCAGTTTTGTGTTGTGTGTTTCCTTGACTGATGAAGCCTTCTGGATGGAAGGTGAAATGTTTCAGCACAAAAAGAAACTGTCCAGATGACCCGACTGAAAATTGTTGGATTGATGTATTTTTGAATCCCACAGAAAAAGGAATAATGAAATGACAAGTAATTTTTCATTTTTTGATTCATTCAACCTTTATTTAGACGGTTAGTCCCATTGAGCCTCCAGGACTCATTTACAAGAGAGACCTGATTTAACAAAGGAAGATGACAACAATGGACAACAGCAACAACAATAAGCAGTTATAAAAAGTCATACTACAGGTTTTTTTTTGTTTTTTTTTAAAAAACAAATAGGATGGCTAAAAGGAAAAGATAAACAAAAAACAGCTAGATTCTAAGGCGACTGTATAAAACTAAAAACAGGAACATGTCTGCATTGGTCCCTGCCAGGAGTCCAACAGATTCTTAAAGACACTTAGAGAGGTCAAAGGTCGAGAGCTTCAGATCTTTTTACAAGATATTCCAGGAAACAGGAGCGGAGTAGGAGAAGGTCCTTTTGTCTAGTTCAGTCCTCACTGAGGGAACACTGCAGGTAATGATGTCCTGAGAGCGCACGCTGTAGCTGCACTCACACAGAGACATGTAGGAGACATGTAGGATGTATGATTATTGATTCTTTATGACAAAACAAGTGGACCGAGGGTACCCTGACCCCACAGCACCACAGTAAACCCAGTAAAGTTAGTTTTACGTTGGACGTTAGAGCTCCGGGGCTTCAGCGCGGTGCTCCTCTCGCTGAAGCCCAAACAGGCGACTCGACCCCGGCCAGCCGCGCTCGCTCTGCGAGGAGGGACGGTCCGACCGCCTGCTGCAGACTGAAGAAGAAGAAGACGTCGCTGAAACCACGGCGCTCTAATGTTTAACGAGAAGTTGCTAAACTTCATCATAATTAATGAGCAACCAGCATGAGTTGTAGAAAACGAAGGATTTCACAGCTCGATACTTGCAGCCAAGAGTTGACCCTGCAGAGATATTTATCACGACAACAGGAGACAATCAACAAACGTGATTTGAAAACTACAAGAAAATTTTATATATGAAAAAACAAAACAAACAGCTACATTATAAAGTGATGTAAAATACTAAAAACTGGAACATGTCTGTTGGTTTATGTCATGAACTTAGCAGATGTTTGAAGACATTTAACATTTTATTTTTTTCATTTATTCATTCGTTTAAAAGAAACTAAACAAGTTCATCAAAAAGAAAATATTGAATGAGAAGTGTGCAGAAAGAAGAAAAATAATTCTTATATCTGCCCCTTATTAAAAAATGTAAAGTAACTTTTTAAACAATCACTTAAATTAATCACTTTAATATCCACTTTAAAACTAGGAATAAAAAGAAACATGTTTAGTGTTAGCAGGATTTAATTCTAACTTTAAAACTTATCCAACATTAATAAACTTACCTCAAGTTGCCTTTTTGGACATGCATGCATTATTTGTACAGATTGTACTTGAGAGCAGATTATTACAGCCTCGTGTAAAATCAATGATCATGATATTGGAACTGGATCGGGATCGGCCGATACTCAGTTCTAGGTATCGGGATCGGATCGGAAGTAAAAGAGTGGGTCGGTGCGAACGTGCAGCTGAACTCTCACTCCGTCTACAAACCTCGCTCTCTGTTCAGTTGAAGTGAACTCTGGTGCGGTTTGAATGCAGTCAGTGTGAAGCGAACCAGAGGCCGCTCCAAAAGCAGGAAGTGGACTACACGCAGGGCATTCTGGGTAAATGCAACCAAAACAAACGTGCGTTTCTCTGACCTCATACGGAGCCGTCAGTCGCCTTGTGTGAAAAACAACACTGTCCATGTAGAGCTGGGTGATATGGGCCAAAATTAATATCTCAATATTTTTACAAAAATTGCAATATACGCTTTATATCGATATTTTTTATTTTCATAAACAAAAATATATTTGAGTCAAAGTTTTGTCCTAGTTTTCACACGGGCACATTTCTTAACAGCTGTAACTGTACAAAATAAATGTCTAAAACATATATTAAATAATAATCCTCTTCAGCTGGGGGCAGCTGTGGTTGAGTAGTTAGAGCAGTCGTCCTCCAATGGGAGAGTTGGGGGTTCGATTCCACCAGCAGTCACAAGTGTCCCTGGGCAACACACTGAACCCTCACTGCCTCTGATGTGTGTCCCATGAGTGTCTGAATGTGATAAAGCTCTGATTAATGTTTGTAGACATCTAGTAGATTATAAGAGTGGGCAAATGAGACACAGAATGTTGTAAAGAGCTTTGAGTGTCTTGATCAGACAGAAAGGAGCTGTATAGGTGCAGTCCATTCAGCTGCGCTGCCTTCAGGTTAGTGAGCCTCCACTTGGAAGCTTGAAGCTGCAGCTCCGACAGACCTGTCTCCTTCCTTGAATCAAACCACGGTTCAGAGCTCATTTAGTCGTGCTGAGCCTTTTAGAGGAACACGGAGAGGAAGCGTGACATTAATAAAGCAGCAGTTTATCATATCGCTAAACGTACGGTCCTGTCAGCTGAGGAACAAGACGGCTAAAGCGTTAGCCGCAACTCTGGTTCGCCTAAGCCATATGAGCTTTTATACATTTTCAAAGCTACATAAAGAAATCAGACGTTCAGTGGTTGTTGCACAATAATTTTCATGTCATGAAAGCGCTGTACAGGTCTGTCATGGTGAAGAGAGAGCTGAGTCAAAAGGCGAAGCTCTCAATTTACCGATCGATTTACATTCCTACCCTCATCTATGGTCATGAGCTTTGGGTTGTGACCGAAAGAATGAGATCTCTGATACAAGCGGCCAAAATGAGTTTTCTCCACAGGGTGTCTGGGCTCTCCCTTAGAGACAGGGTGAGAAGCTCGATCATCCGGGAGGGACTCGGAGTAGAGCCGCTGCTTCTCCACGTCGAGAGGAGCCAGTTGAGGTGGCTCGGGCATCTGGTTAGGATGCCTCCTGGACGCCTCCCTGGTGAGGTGTTCTGGACACATCCCACCGGAAGGAGACCCAGAGGAAGATCCAGGACACGCTGGAGGGACTATGTTTCTCTGGCCTGGGAACGCCTCGGGATTCCCCCAGAAGAGCTGGCCCAAGTGGCTGGGGAGAGGGAAGTCTGGGCCTCCCTACTTAGGCTGCTACCCCCACGACCCGACCCCGGATAAGAGGAAGAAAATGGATGGATGGATGAAAAGGGTGCAGAAAGAAGAAAAAAAATATTATAATATCTGCTCCTTATTTAAAAAAGAAAAAAAACAAAAAACCACAAAACAAGTCAGGCTTGAACAATCCCCAAGGCGAAAACAAAAATCATCAGGCATTCTTCACATGGTATCATACTTTACTAACAACTTTACATTAATCATCTTTTTAAACATATACATTGTTTTATAAATGTTTATGTTGATATCAAGTCAATTCAATTTCAATTCAATTCAGTTTATTCATAAAGCACCAAATCACAACAAAGTTGTCTCAGGGACTTTACAGGAACATTCACATAAAAGACAGTTAGTAAAGTTCTCTATCTAAGGAATCCAGCAGACAAGTTGAATCTTGGCTTCGTTGCAGTCTCCCATCCTGAGCAAGCACAGTGGAGACAGTGGAAAGAAAAACTCCCTTTAACAGGAAGAAACCTCCAACAGAACCAGGATCAGGACAAGAGACCATCTGCTTTGACCGGCTGGTTGAGAGGACAGGAAGGAGAGACAGACGAACAGAATGGTAGATCCAGGTATAGGTCCAGGTCCAGGTCCAGATATAGGTCCAGGTATAGGTCCAGGTCCAGATATAGGTCCAGGAATAGGTCCAGGTCCAGATATAGGTCCAGGTGTAGGTCCAGGTCCAGATATAGGTCCAGGTATAGGTCCAGGTGTAGGTCCAGGTCCAGATATAGGTCCAGGTATAGGTCCAGGTCCAGATATAGGTCCAGGTGTAGGTCCAGGTATAGGTCCAGGTATAGGTCCAGGTCCAGATAAAGGTCCAGGTATAGGTCCAGGTCCAGATATAGGTCCAGGTATAGGTCCAGGTCCA